AACCTAAGGTCTTTAATAGCTTCTTATGTGTTAGAACTCTAATATTACAGCATCCCCTGTTCTAGCAACAGCATGCAGAATAACTAAGGGGAGTCTGGAGCAAGCCTCATCAGTTTGTGTTGCATTGAGACATTGAACAACATCACATAAAGTTAATCAATTGCTTGGATCTTGGTTCAGTTTGGGTTTTTTGGAAAAAATTTCCCACAGAAGTTAAGGATCCATCTGTACTCATTTAGGTATGTGCAGAGCTTTTGAAAGTATTCTTCTTGCACAAAGCATTTCATGAGTCTTTCCAGAAGTTGCAGTGGAACCTTTCTGAGGTCTTTTAAGCCTTTTCCTCTGCAAATTTATTGCTCACTGTGGGTATAAGTGGGATCTTCCTGTTGCTCTGTACTAAGCAACATTTTCTTTAATGTACATATGACTGTTCCCTTGAATACCCTTTCCAAAGCAGGATCTGAATAGAACAATAGCAGTGCTTTTCTATGTATGTTTAGAGCTTACATGTCAGCAGTGCTTTTATGCAAATGAATTTTTTGAGCCTCATACTCTGTGATAGTCCTTGTGAAAACTCACTTCATACAAGTGACTAATACTTGTGGTTACGGGCAGTATTGAAAGTAGTGATTCGTGAATGCATGAAGTTGGAAGTCGGAGACTAAAACATTAGCAAAGTGTAGTAAATTCACAATTACGTAAATTCCGTTCTATCGAATTGTTGTGGCATGTTCTGATCCTTAGTATATAGAGAACGGGTAGCATATAAACCTTTGCACCTGACTTTTAAGAAAGATTAAACAATCCTTATATTCTCAAACTGTCAAAAATCTTACCAATTGCCACGTAATATGCGTGAGGGCAGCTCGGATAATTAACCCAAAGGGAAAGAATTCTAAGCAAAGTAATGTTTTAGCGATATCTACTTTTGTCTCTTCACTCAGTTCAAGGGAATGAGTCATTTAAATAAACATAGGTAGGTGTGTTATAGGCAGGCCTTTATTTTTAAAACAAACAAACAAACAAAACCTCTGGAGTTCTCCTCTCAGGATTAAGAGGTTTTGTTTAATGAAAACGGCTTATCCCTAGGAAAAGGGAAGTGCTTACATGTTTAATCTGGCTTTGTCACCAGCATTCCTCTTGAACTCAAAATTGCTATTTCAATAGCAACAATCTGAAATTACGTGACTGATGTAAATTCAATGACAAAGATCTAAATTTTACTGATATTATGTGCAAGGTTAAAGATGGGAGGAGCTCTAGCACACTTCATTGAAGACTTCCAGGGATGTTTTGGAATCTTAGCTTTTGGGGTAATACTTAAGTTTTAAGGCATCTCAGTAATTGTTGCTTTCATTAACTCTCTCCAGAAGCATCTCCCCTAATTTTTATTATTATTATTCTTTCAGCATATTTGTATGGTTTTGTCCCTAAATCAGTAGTCACTACAGTATTCATCTAGATTCAGTTGCGGTTTGTGTTGCTTAGAGCCATTTTTCTTTGCAGAATTAGAATATTGCGAAAGCCATCTATAAGCAGTCCAATTAATTCAGTCATATTTTTCCATGTTTAAACTGAACTTCTTTTAACCTGGTTATAATGAAAAAGAAATTGCAGTGAGTATTTTACATGTCTCTCAATGACACTGATCTCCAGGTCTAACCTGCTACTGAAAAAAGCCCCATCGATCCTGTTCTTTATTATATTTTATAATGTCAGTGTTCCAGAACTTGAGTAATCTTGTCAGTTTTAATTCTGTAATGGATTAATAAAAGACCAGATTTGTAAACAAAAGTTTAATTTGAATGCTGTTGAACCACAAGTATTAGTATTTCTAAGTTTCAGTTAGTCCCTTGATGACATCAGCATAGTTTATTTCTGCCACCCTGCCTTGCTTCGCCTTTCTCCCTCTGCTCCATCATTGTAATGCTGTACTTACTCAGAAGAGACTGCCTACATCTGATTTTTACACCTATGAAATTTGTTGCATGTACTAACTTTAACAGTATTTTGAAAAACTTAATGAATCATAGAATGGTTTGAGTTGGAAGGGACCTTTAAAGCTCATTTAGTCCAACCCCCCTGCAGTAAGCAGGGACACCTTTAGCTGGATCAGGTTGCTCAGAGCCCCGTCCAACCTGACCTTGAGTGTCTCCAGGGATGGAGCTTTACCACCTCTCTGGGCAGCCCGTGTCAGTGTTTCACTACCCTCATTGTAAAAAAAAAATTCTTCCTTATATCTAGTCTAAATCTTTCCTCTTTTAGTTTAAAACCATTGCTCCTTGTCCTATCACAACAGGCCCTGCTAAAAAGTGTGTCCACATCTTTCTTATAGGCCTTCTTAAATTGGTCTGTAATGGGGTCTCCCCACAGCCTTCCCTTCTCCAGGCTGAAGAACGCCAACTCTCCCAGCCTGTCCTTGTAGGGGAGGTGCTCCAGCCCCTGATCATCTTCATGGCCTCCTCTGTACCCGCTCAAGCAGGTCCGTGTCTGTCTTGTGCTGGGGGCCCCAGAGCTGGATGCAGCACTGCAGGTGGGGTCTCACCAGAGCAGAGTAGAGGGGGAGAATCCCCTCCCTCAACCCGCTGGCCACACTTCTCTTGATGCAGCCCAGGATGTGAATGGCTTTCCGGGCTGTGAGCGCACATTGCTGGCTCATGTCCAATTTTTGTCTACCAAGCCATGAAATTTGCCTTATCTTTGTAAGATGGGCTTCAAGTTTTCTTTCTTGCAACCAAATTTGAGGCTTGACAGTCTTCCATTGGTATTTTTCTTCAAACTGTGCTTGATAAGGCATGATCTTCAGTATAACCAGGTTTGCATTTTGAAATAAATATGATTTGTAGAAGTTTTACTAACCCCTTTTGTCTTGTCACATCAGTTTTTTAGTTGTTGAAGTAGGAAATAGTGAAGCTATGGTGTTATTTTCCTTAGGCAGTTGGTATCAGAAGCCTTTGACAAATAATAGTAAACTTCCTGCTTTTAAATTCATTCTATAAAAATATCTTTAATTCTGATGAAACTCCCACACTCTTTTTTAGACTATAAGGAATTTATAACAATGTAAACAGTAGAAATGACCTTTTTGTTAATATTACAAGCAATGGAAGTTAAAACAACTGTGATATTAACAGGATCTTAACTATTGTGCAAATACTGCTATCAAATTCTATTTTTTTTTTTAGAGCATAGTTTAAAATTAGGAAGGCAGTTAAATGCTTGCAATTTATTATTTAAATATCTGTCTTGGGGGACTGCATATGCAGATTTGCATGCATAGAAGTATGCAAATAAGCTATACCAGTTTCATGTGTAAATAAAATCATAATGTGAAACACTCGTTAAACTTAAAATATTATTAAAATTTTCTTGATAGGAACAGAAGTCAGAGAATTATTAGGAAGACTCTAGAGGCAGAGCAACTCAGTTGGATTGTTTTGCTCGTTTCTTTGAAAGATTTTTTTTTTTTTCCCCAAGGCTTTTAAGGGCTTTAAATTTTTAGAACAAAGCCCTATGTTTTCAAAATCCAAGCTAGTTATATGAAATAGACGTTTCCATCAAGCTTAAAGTAGGGCATCACGACCAGTTGTTAGATACCTGTTTTTGAAATCATCCCATTTTTTTGATTGTTTGTCATACATTGATGTATACACGATTTGATTTCTAGAAAAGTAATATTCTTTTTAAGTGTGCAATTGTTCTAGATTTTGCCATAGTTCTTTAGGCTGGCTTTACTAGAATTTTCAAAGGTTCAATACTTTAAATCACTCTGGCAATGAGTATAGTTGCTGGTAATTAAAATGAGTTCTTACAGTCTCTTCTGCCTTGTATTTAAAAATAGAGAAATTTAAGTCTGTTCTTAAAGATCATTTTACAAGCTTACTATCAGTGCGTATTTATTTTCTTTCTCATTTGAGATCCGAGTATTGCGGCTTTACTACGTTCATCTTTAGGAACAGAACAGTTCTTTGGTTGAATTGTCTTCAGTCATGGATGGTGAAGCTGAAAGCTGCTTTATGTTTTATATGAAAACAGTTGCTAATACTTGTTGCAGAATCAAATGTTACTTTTTACTTGTACTACTTCTGTACAGGAGCATGCCAGTTATATAATAATTTTGAGATTTTGGGGTAAAGATCTTGTACTAGTTTAAATGTTATAAAGGAACAAGACAGAAATTAAATTTACTAAATTAAAAAAGCCACAAGATGGCATCAAATTGTCAATTCTATCTGTTGCTGCTAACATTTTTTTAAAGGTCAAAATATTACAGACTGTATAGATCTCTACATGGAAACCAGGTGGAATGGTGAATATGCAATGGAATAGTTTGAGGGTTTTTCCATTCATTACTTGGACCTTGTGAAGCCACAATAAGAAACTTTTAATAGCTTTTTCTGTGCTTCAAAAGAGTAAGCTAACTTGGGTATATGTGAAACGTGCCTCTAAGAAAAAATTCTACCAATATAACATGCTTTATTGCTTAAAACATGAGGCTTCATTTTCTAAAATGTAGCATGAGTTATGTTCAGGCAATTTCTGGTTCTAATTGAGGAATCAGTGCAACTGATTGTGCAACTATGGATGTTACTGCTCATTTAGACTTAAGAAAAGTACAAAGTGTCTAAAATACAAATTTTTTTCTGAAATACAGAAAAATACTATCTGGGTCCTTGTATCAGGCGAATGTTGGTAATCAGTGATTTTTTGTGTATTATCACAAAGAATGACAGATGCATTTTTTTAATGGAAAAGATCAACAAACACTGCAGAAGGTTTTAAAATCTGTTAAAAACAAACAAACAGAAAACCCACCAAAAACCAAGCACCAAAACAACAGCCGCCTTCAGGTAACTAAAAACAGCTATAGATTGACCACAGTTTCCTTCTTTAGTTAGATAATTTTTGATGTCCACATAGATGGAATATCTCAGATTTACTATTGCAAGAAGTAGATCTTTTAAAAGGTGTTGAAATTTTTACATTAAAATGGGTTGAGGATGCAAGATATTGGAGGACAGACAAATGTGGTAAGAATCTGCCCAAAACAATTCGCATCTTCATAATATATTGCAACTTGCCTGTATAATGTAGAAGCAGGGAAGGGAAAATGGATGCATATGTGAAAGGAAAGGCATGAAGTAAGCTGTATACAAAATGTACAAATTTAAGTGATTTTAAGCAATAGACCTAAATCTTGTTGTTATTGTAAACATAGTTTACACTTAAAAAACTTATCAGAGAACATAACAATGTCTGAATTTAAGACAAGTAGAGAAATTATATGAAGGAATGAGGGAAGAAAAGAACACACTAAAAGCTTAATTACCGGGGCATACAATAATAGTGAAGTCAGTCGTCCTTCAGGGTGTGAGGTGTTTTCCTTGTTTGACTGTAAGTGGGAACTGGGATTTTTTCACATGTACTAACCTGTTTTCTATCATGCATTGGTTTGTGAACCGGTTATTTTTAGGTGTTTAGATAGGACAGTGCTAAATAGCAGAAGGCATACACTAAAATAAAAAGAGTTATTGAGCAGACATTTTGTAAATGTCTAATATGATGGGAAACATTAGTGGAATTCATTACATTTCAGTACTGAAAAGTGTATGCAGTGGTGTAGCTGTAAATGATAATGTGAAATTCAGGAAAGTATGAAGCTTTTGGTATCTGTTTTCCTGATTTAATTCTATGTCAAGTTATTGCTTCTGAATGGTTAAATACTCACATTTAATGTAAGTTGTAAGTAAACTATATATAACCTTCTATGGTAAATTCGCACAACTAAACCAAGTAATATGTTTTTGATTAAAATACAATGTTAAGTGGTCGTCTTAAAGAAGATTTGTATTTTTCAAATTACATGGTTTTGTTACCAAATTAGTTTCAACTTATGAATATTCATAATATACTCCTTAACAGTCTCAAACGGCTTATGCATAAGAATTAGGTATGTCATCTTCGAGCAAAACTGTTAAGTGTTCAGAAACTTTGAGGAAATGAATGTTCTTTAAATAGCTAAACAGAGATTTCTGCTGCTTCTAATGCTTAGGGTACAGCTGCACAAACAAAAGCTCCCCTAACTGGAATTGGAATTTGCAGTGTGCTAGTTACTTAATAGTAACTTTTACATTAAAAACTTTACATTAAAAACGATGTGAAATATCTTACTGTGTGCTCACTCAGAAATAAGCTACTGTCTTTACAAGGAGTTAGAGCATGCAGAGGAGGAGTTGACTCCCAGTAGCTATCAGGCCATAAATTACCAGCAGCACTTACCTTGTGTAGTTGAAGGGACCAACTATGAAGTTTACTCTGTCAACTTAATTTTCTTTTCCTCTGGGAGAAATCCTAGCCTGTAGTTCTCTGTGGTTATACCTACCTTGTAAACAGAGCTTGTATCATAACTCAGTACGTTGTCATAGGAAGAACTTATGCCTCTATCTGAATGCTTTTGAAGAGCATAATTTTTTTATCTAAACTTAGCAACTTTTGTTTTCAGGACAACGTGAAATGTTAGCAAAATTATCCTGCTAATGACTTGCTTATTGAAAGCACATTTTCTTCTCCACTTAGTGAATCTTGTCATCCATAATTGCTCTGTACTTATGTTTTTTCCTTATCTTAATAGTATACTTTTCTCCTTACAGATCATTTGAGAAGTGTGGGGTTGAAATATTGATCAGGGTCTCTTTTGCTGCATTGTCTGCAGTTTTACATAATAGGAGGTGGTAATTAGCTCGGTAATAATCATAAAGAGAGAAGAGATGTAAATCACTTACAAAGGATAGATGTATGTAGATGACAATTGAGCTTCTGTGCTAAATATCACGAGTTGTGAGCTGAGGTTCATCCATGAAATTATCGTGGTCTCAGGCAGTGATTTACAGAACTAAAAGTGGTGACCTCCATCATTTATTGATTTGCAGAAATTGTTCTTACAAATAGAAAGGTCATAAGTGTGAAATTGGTAGCAGTCTTCTCTATCTACTCATTTAAATTTACTTCCTACCATTAATCAGGTATTTTCATGTGATTTTTTTTTTTTTTTTAATTGAGCTTCTTTTTTTGTTGTTTTGGGGTGTTTTTTTTCAGTTGCAATGTTCTCAAAGCCCTGCCTTTTTCTTTCAGGCTTCTGAACTAAGTTTTCCATTAATCACTGTAGAGAAGACAATTCAGGGGAAAGTATGAAAAACTCCCAAATAGCTAATTTGCCAGTTGATTTGTTAGGCTTGATTCTGTGTATATTCTGGTGCTTTGTGGACATTCTAGTGAAGAGAGACAGCACAAGCACAAATCATATGGGAACCAAAACAATGCAAGAATTTTCTAAAACTGTAGAATCCCAGAAGGAGCTCCTGGTTCCCTCCCTTTGTTGCAGCTGCTGTAGGACCTGCAGTGTCTATTTGAGACCTTGGAGGCACTGAATAAGTGGAAGAGGAGGCAGAAAAGTTCCGTTACTGATTTGGTAGGGCAGGAAAGAGGAATGGACGTGTGGGACTGCAGACAGTAATAGTTAAGCATCCAAGCAAACTGAATTGGGTTTACTATCTTGAAACTTAGCATCATACAGGAAGAGACATCTCTTTACCTTAATGTTTTTCGTTCCATTTCATAAAGTGTCATGGATTTTGGGAAACATTAAGGGAGAATTTTTCGTATTTCTTCAAAATGTTTAATTAATGCACCGCAGGAACAGTCTTTTCACACAGAAAATGACATTTTTCCATAGAAGCAGATGCAGAATGTTTTATTTCCATGTCCTTGGTTAAAAGAAAGGTGATGTTGTTTGAAATAACTGCAGTCTCTCAGTCCCAAAGCTTCTCTCAAAGGTAGTCAGCCCTTCCTGCTGCTCTTCCTTTACAGTGTGGTATTTTAATTTTTATCATTTTCTGAGTAATTATTGAGAAAGGACGTTGGCAAAAATACCTTTCTCAGATGCTAAAAAAGTAGGTCTTAAAATAACAGTTACTGACTCAAGTGCCCTACATAAATGTTGGTATTTTAATAAGCAGAAAAGATACAGCAAAATTCAGGATTAATCCGTTTCCCACAATGCGGGGTTAAATCCTTATACTGAAGATTAATAGGAGGTTGCTGACTGTAAAAGTCACAAAAGCTGTGCGCTGTACCATATGTCAGCTCCAGCCTATTGTAACTAATCATGGGTGGCTTTGACTAAAGGCTCAGGGAAGAGACATTTTGAGTAAATTTGTGGTTTTCTAAGGGCTTGTCAAGTGATCTTCTCTTCGGTTTGTAGTTCGCAGTTCTTGAGATAAAAATGGAGTTTTAACTTCCATGGTGGAAAATTAAAAGCACTTTCTTTAAACGTTATTTAAATTGTGGAACTTGAGGCTGCTTACATAGTCCCCTGCTCATTAGCTTTTTTTATTTTGAATTACAAAACTTATTGTTATTTACACATGGACATACAAATGTGGTAATGCCATATTAGAGTCCTTTCCAACAGGTTTTTCCGAGACTGGGGTTTCTGACCTTTCAGAGTGTCTCACAGTTGTAGGATATGCTTCACATAGTGTTTAAGTAATTTTCAGATAAAATTCATGATTCCGTGTTAAAAGGCTTTCTGTCAGCCTTGCAAATTTAAGTGGCTGGAATATATAGCATTTTTTTAGAGTGTTAGTAATACTGTTAGTAATGTGTGTTTTGCTCAGGGAGGTTTCACAGCAGTAGCCGAGAACAGTTTGTTCTTGCAGGAATTCAGTGTTGGTTTGGAACCAGACGTGTGTGACCTCACTGTTTTCTTACATGGTGTGTTGACTCTGCAGAGTTAACAAGAATAAATAGTAGTGCAGGTCTTTTGTTTGTTACATTAAGGTAATTGGATAAGGCATGAGCAGAACTAATTATCATGAGTGCTATTTCTGGTCACTAAAACACTTCAAGGCAGGAAT